ATGGCTCTGGCATTCTTGTTTCCGTTGTCTGCACCACACTGGGCAAGATTACCCGCGGCGTTAGCAGATGTATATGAAGACCTGCACCATGTCCAGCCCTTGGGATAATTCACACCACCTTCAGCTCCCAGGCCTACGAAAGAGTCTGGTGAAGCACAACCATTTTCCTTGTTTGCAATAATGCCCAACCGAACTTTTACAATTAGGGACTTGGTTAATCGGTCCACGTTAAATCCCTCTTGGTTGCAGTTGCGCTGTAAGGATGATCCACTGATCAATGATTTCCACTGCGCGCGACCAAGGCGAGTTTGTCGATAGTTTCCGTCTGCGATCAAGCTATGCAGAGATGATGCCGGATACGAGAAAGAGAAGGCTCTTAAACGACTACCATATTTCATACCAACACAAATTTCTTTAAATGAGGTTCTCCAATAAGTCGATCCTTTAAATTGTCGGTTGTCTAAACCGCCGTTTCGCCCATAGGCATAGTCATGGTAAATGACTTTGTTCGTCCAATAGGAGGAAGTGTATTTGAAAGTACTCTAAAAAAACAAATACTAAGATTTAGTCAGATTGACTTTAGTCTTTCATCTCAGCCTAATCCTAAATCTGATTCCTAATCCTCGAACTTATTCCTAAACATGACCCCAATCCCAAAGTTACATTTAGTCCCAACCTTCACCCGAAACCTCGTCCTTTACACCCTTCTGGAAAGACGTCATCTTGGCCATAGAGCCTCGTCACAGAATAAAGATACACAGAAGGTCGACTCGAGTAACTGCTGCCACGCCATGATTCATCATCAAAATGCTGACGCCATGGTCCTAGCCAGTGCGCGTTTGAGAGGCATTCCCCCTCCTGGACGTCCGCCATTTTGAATAATAGTGAGCTTAAGCAAGTGATGTTTTTGACAACACGAACGGCATGAGTAACGTCAAAAGACTGGGTCAAGGGCTGTGATTGGTGCAAAACGTCAATTTTACTTCCGATCGACGTCCGTGTTGTCAAAAACGTCACTTGGTTAAGCTCACTATTATCAAGGGGGGAATGCCTCTCAAACGCGCACTGGCTAGGACCATGGCGTCAGCATTTTGATGACGAATTACGGTTACGCCAAAATCATAGGAAAATCATAGGAAAAACCAAGAAGTCTGGTTACTGTATGACTTATTCTGTGGTCTCGTTTTGGCTTACCAAACTTCCGTTAATCTTCATCACCATTGTCCAACCACCACCTTTGCAACCTGAGACGTTAGTCATTTGACAGTACACGTCCATAACTTGACTGTTCTTAACACTGATTCTGTAAACACCATCTCCATTGTTTCTGTAAGATAAACGAAATATTCTGCATTTAATTTTTGGTTTACATAACTTATGTAGAAAACTCGCTGGAAACTCAAAGCGTCTATAATGAGCGACGATTTTTGTATTTTGAGATGACTAGCTTGTACAAATCTTTTGAAAATAGTGCGGTTAAGAATATTCCAAGAGTGCGATTAATTGAGAACGCGGGATGAGCAATTTCGATGAAATTATACCAGTTGATAATTACTTTATCATGTTTGCACAAACATGAAAAAAGATAGAACAATGGCAAAGTAAAGAAAACCATTAAGTACCCTCATTTTACCTTCGACTCATCCATATTTGTTTGCATGATTTGTGTGTCAGCACTTTAACATAGTTTAAAAAGGGAAAGAGTGGTATTAGCCCATAAACTAATAGAAAATATAAAATAAAACATCGACATAAAGCATCTAAATAAAACTTACTAATAATTTTCATAATTCTTTATTATATTAATTTTCAGTTCTTTATTACCTTTATTCACCGTCGTAAGTTTATTGTTGATTTCTTGCTTGAAACTGTCAAGCTTTCCAATGACATCTTTAATCTTTTTATGAAAAAGACAAGATTACGTGAATTCTTAATTAATTGCGAGGCGTAATTATCCTGTAGATATATTGGTTAATATAATAACACTTTCATTTACCGCTTAAAATCGCCGATCAATTGGTGATCCCATGACCTACTCTCAACAGGCGTTGTCGCAATTCATTTTTCTCCTAATGAGCCCTTCGCATGCATAACTCTTTGCACACTATGATAATAATTGTGCCATCCAGTCTTTTCAGTGTGTTAAAAGACTCGGTATTCTTCGTCGTATTTTAGCTATTATATTCCACAAAATCAAGTACGCCGAGTAAATGCCTGTCTGTCGCAGCTGGCAGTTTTAAAATGTCGGGAGTTGAGGCGGGGAGGGAAATTTTACGTTTACATTTTGAAAAGTAATATCGGCAGCAAAACTGGAGGTAAAACGTACTTCTTTCTGATTTGCCAATGCTGTCCACTGAGATTTTTCTTTGATATACAGCTTCTTATCAGAAAGATAGGAAAGAAGACCTTCCACCTTTGGAAGTTTGTTCATTGATTGATTGTTAGGGACTACTGCAACCTGTAAAAAATCAACAAAACCATGCTGTGATGTTGTTTGATGTTGTGATACCACAAGAAGAATTATTCTAAGCACAGGGAAAATGCAGTTTGGCTCAGATTTTCTGCTAAGCAGGGGAAATAATTTGATATAATACATAAAAAACTTACTTAATGACTTTTAGCTTACCCCATCATTAATTGTGACATCTTCAGGAACTGAACATGGACCCTAAACAAGTAATACATATGAACAATTATATAGACAAATGTCTTATAAGGGGGACCTCATATGGTTTTGTTTCAGATCTTGCACCAGTCTGTTGAATATATACCTTGTCTTAATTCTTAAACTGTATTTTAAAACATGTAGAACTGACCCTTTCACCGTAGCTGTGCTCCGTGATCAGACATGAGTCATAAGGTGGCTACCAGAGGCGCCCTTAGAAAGCCTTCGACTCGACCAGGCTGAGCAGCGTCCGTAATTCAGCTTTGCTTTTTTTGCTCGAGCGAGAACTCGAGAACGTTAACCGCACAGATAAAAACAACAGAAAAGGACTGGAACTGACATTCAATAGCTCCTTCTATTTCCGCCATCTTCGCATGCAAGGAGTCAATCTCGTTCCCCGAGCCTGCGATCCTGCATGGGGAAGGAACGTGAGGCTCTGGGATAATCCGTTGCCGGAAGCCAGGAATCCTGGCTAAGACCGAACTGCGCATTCCATATCAACGGCCAATCAGATTCCTCCCTGAAACGGATTATCCCAGAGCCTCACGTTCCTTCCCGAGGATCGCAGGCTCGGGGAATGAGATTGGGCAAGGAGTGTGCCGAAATTTCGTATTTTGACATCGACCAAAAACTGGAATTAGCAGGGGGGGGATTGTATAAAAGCTGTTTACGACCTTCAGAGCTATTGGACGTCAATGGCCGCCATGAATGACTGACGTTCTTACTCCAGGTAAAATATGGAGCTCACTGGCACACCCCCACTTACTTACCTACCTGTATATTTCTAGTTTCGTTCTACCATACCTTTCTCCTTATTCCATCCTCGACACGCCATGTTTCTATTTTTCCAGCATCGTTCTTTTCTTTAAACTCCATGCATTTTTTCCAAACACGTTTTGGTAAAGATGAACGGATCCAAAACCAAACTGTGATATTGTCCTTTTCTCTTAAAACAGTTCCCCCATTGATTGCTTGACATTTTGGTGCGCAGTAATCCTGCTTACTGTCAGGACCAAAACATGCACAGCACTGTAAAATCGTAACATCGCATTATATGCTACAATCATAGCCAAATGTTTGTAGAACGCAAGCTGATTTAAAGGTAAAGGCGCGCGAGTTATAATATTGTCATAGATTTCGCGAAAAAGGAGCTCGCCCGGCCCCTTTTCCAATGTTGATCCTAGCGTTAATAAATAAGATTGTGTGATGCTTATTCCGAGCAGAAAACAGTCCCAAACAACATTGACTGGGGGGAAGGGTTTCTTTATTCAAATTAAGGGTAAAAACACGAAATCGCACTATACGTTCCACAACATTTGGCCATCATTGTAGGTTTTTGCCGAATCGGGAAATATTTTATTTATATATACCAAAAATGGCGGACAAGGCCTAGTCGAATGGACAGTAAACAAACTGACTGAATGCAATGTTGTGTTTGATATAAAACTTTAAAAAACTGAGACTAATGATAAAATTTTGTCTAGGGCTCCTTGCTTGCAAATTGAAATTATTAAGGTTGATAATTTACCAATTTAGATTGAATCACTTTAAATCGTATGGCAAGGGACCAAATGTTTTCCAATTTCCAATACAATTCTGTCGCTCAAATCAAATGTTTCCTCGTTTATATTCTAGATGTACTTTACCTTTCCATGATCACATCCAATGAATGATGTTTGACTGTCCTGTATGCCTGAACGTCCCGACATGACACTGTAGCTACATGAAGGAAAACAGCATGACGGTATGTGAAAATGTTTGTATTTTCTAATTCAAACCATAACATAATTACCTGTACGAGCCTGATGTGTCGATATGATAACCAGGAAGATATGCAAAACCAATTGGGCATGATTCTTTGAAACATCTGTTCATTTTCTCCTGGTGGAATAAAAATGATGGAAAATGAAGTACTCTGCAAGGTAGATAAATTAAAATCTTGTGGATTCAGGGCCGTAGCAACCGGGGCTGGGGGCTGCAGCCACCCCCCAATAATTTGCTAATAATCATTCTTTTTTCAAAATCATGCAAACTTTATCATTTAATCTGTGACAAACTGCAAAGAATGAAGATATTACTCATACTCCAGATCGTTCCTCGCGTAGAAATTTTAGCTGAATTTCTGTCGCGCATTTTCAAGAAAATCCCACAAAATCTGCACATTTTTGATGAACTAATGATTTATTTTATATTTATTTTGTATTTTTGCGTGTTGGGTCTTGCGAAAGAAAACTCTGAAAATGCCATTTCAGACCATCTAGAGACTCCAGATTTTCGAAATTTTCTCAAATGTTCTGCCTTCATTTCCGCGCAACTGCCATTTACGACGAAAATTCCCGCCGCGCATTTATAATACTACAGTCTGGCGCATACTTTCCTGTAAATTTCGACATACTAAAACGCTGTTTTCTGACTATCAGAATTCTGTTAAATCTTCCCCCAAAGTCCAGGAAATGGCATTTTAGAGACTCTAAATTTAAAAATTTCCTCGGGCCTTCGGCCCTCGCTTTCAGCCCTCCCAATCGAAAAGAGCTTCCTACGGCCCTGGGATTAAAGCTACTATTAAAAGTAGGATAGGGTGACATTACCCATCCCAGTCCAGGTGCAATTGAAGCTCCAAATCGGGAGCAATTAAACGTCGTTGTTGCCATCTTTCTAGTCATAAGATCTTTAACGTAGGCAATGTTCCCAATCCCTGGGTATCGATGACTGCATCCTCCTTCATCGGACATCAGTAATTTTGAAAGAATGCGTGGGGATCTGAAACGATAATACCTAAAGTGGAGTAATTACGCTGTGTTTGATTCAAGATAACAACAATCAAAACAGCGACAACAACAGCAGCAACAATAACAACAGCGGCAACAGCAACAACAACAGCAGCAGCAACAGCAACAACAACAAACAACAACAACAACAAACAACAACAACATGTCACATACCAGTGTGCTCGGGTATCATGAAAATCTTTGCTCGTTGAAATCTGTACACAAAAATCTAACACATTCTTCTCACCAAATGCACTCGACCACCTCGCCAGACCGTGAGGGTGAACAAGGGAGGAATTGGAAGGGATAGCCCAGGTTTCAGGTGTATCTTTGACACCAATCAACAAGAATCCCCACTAGATGTATCAACATCACACCAGGCCTAAATCAAATGATAATTGGGCCACGGTTGCAAATATAAAAACCTGAAAGTGAAGGTCATGTGCACGAATCACCCTAGGACTGCAATTACTGGGAGAACGCCGTTATATTTGCGTACGAATTCGCTTTGAGATTGAATCTGGCGAGATAAGAACTTTGAGGTGTAGATAGTTGAAAATGCAGAATTTTTAGGCAAAGATGTATAGGATCTGCAACAAAGTTCTGATTATAAATCACACATTATTTTTGACTTACTTTGACCGGGCCCTTTACTGTTTGAATCCAGTAAACTCCACTCTTAGCTTTTGGAACATTATCAACAACATCTGAACAATCTTTTGCTGGATCAAAATAGTTGCCATACGAATAACCTGAGCAATAACATGATCAAGGGCAACAATTAGTCTAATTTGTTACAAAAGTTCGAATTATTTTTTATTATCATAATAGTAAGAGTAAGAAATTTATACTCGTGGCAAAATATTCAAGTTGTGGGGTGTACTCCCCCCTCCCCAGGGTGGCAAGCCAAGACAGGTAGAGAAAGCCACACAGTCACCTTTTAAGCAATGTTATTTAAATATTTAATTTAATAAGTTACTTGTACATAAATACCATTGATCATATCCCATTTATATTTTCCGTGATGTTCAACACAAACCACGATTTTATCGTCATCACCATAATCTTTGACAACCATAAATTTTCCTCTCTTCTTTTTTGTGCAAATGCCAGGATCGTATGGATTTACCTGATGTGTTTAAATTGAGATTTAGACAGCTCTGCCATACATTTAGTGATACTGAATAACAGTATCAGTTCCACATTGTTTTCTCTAGAGGTCCAGTCAGGGTCGTCGATTAAATAATTCTGCAGACAACGTACGGAATATTATTGAAGGGAGTGAACAACGATAGCAGGAATGCAGGATATAGAATCTGTTTCAGCCGTGTCAAAATTAATAGAGTCACGAAAATGTAACTCGATTTACTGCGTGTTTATCCCAAACATTAAAACACCCAATTAATGGCGCGTAAAATTTGTGTAAATTTAATATTCTCTCTCATTTTGTCATGAGTGCGTCTATATTAAGTCACACATCAAACATACAGAAGACTTGCCTACCTAGACTAAAAATTAGTAGCTCTATGGATAAAAATGTATTTCATTTATTTACAAGACTACAATTAGTTCACAAACAAATTACTTATGTATACTTACTGCACTAAGCGTTGTAACAAGAGTCAAAGTTAGAACTGCTGGCAACACTCTCATTTTTATTTACGCTGCTGTTGTAAAAAGTTGCTCTCTCTTGCTAGGACTTACCTCAAATGACGAAATTTTTGTATTGAAAAGATGTATTTCAATAGCTGTTTGATTTTTGTTGCTGAAGGAAGTTTATTCGTATCAACATGATCATGCATAGAGATAAGGAAGAAAAACATCAAAACATTCATTATTTTACTTTCCTTTCAACCATAAAGTATTTTTGTCACTCTTCAGTAGTATTATAAAAACATAATGTATTTGTTAGTGAATTTCGTGTTTAATGTAAAAGGAATACAGGGAAAATTTAGCATTAGACTCTTCCTGGCTAAAACGCATCCGTTGTTTACATTTGTTTGGTAGAGCGCAACAACCCCTTGGTGTGTTCCTATCATTGACCTTCGAAGCAGACTTGGATACAATATAATATACGCATTGGCCAATTATATTTCGATGCTTTATGCTGATGTATTTGTATGCTTTAAATTCCACTTAAAATTTTTACACAGTTAGCCGATAATGAACTATAGGTACTATATAATATTGGTTCTTATATTCAGTATACACTATACAATAAGTATATATACAATATGCTTATACAATATCATCATTGCAGTAAGTTCAACCACATGGCATACAGTGTCCTGTGGCTACAGCCACAGGAAGGCTTCATTCCAATACTAATAAGTTACTGATCCACAAGCAACCAGATCAGAACACTGCAACATTCAAACACTGGTGCATGGTATCGGTTCACTCTGTATCTGGAATTCTCAAATTCCTATACATAAGGGGGTGGAGGGATGCAATTGGTTAACTATATCACACTTCTGTGTTATCACTGACAAAATCATCAATTTTTCACTGTATTTGTGTTTTACACTGGCATTCCTTGCGTCTCATCGACTTTTCCCCAAACTATTTCCAATATAATTGTTAAAACGTCAGCCATAGCACCAACATACCTATCAATGAATAAGAAATTCCTTCAGTGAATAGGCAATTCCAGCTTTTAGTTTATGCCTGCAGGGGATGATGGGAAGTAAGGTATCATATTGCCAATTGTGCTGAAAAATTTCAATAAAAACTACCGAAACAACCGAAATATTTCAATATTTACAAGTATAAGCTATCACTCCGTGTTTACACGGCCACCATTTTTATTTTTTCTGCATAATCAGCAATGTGATACCTTACTTCCCATCGTCCCCTGCACGCATAAACTAAAAGCTGGAATTGCCAATTAAAACATTCAGAGATGCATAAGTAAGCGACGATCATAATATATTCAATAACGACATCCAGCACTTGTGGTGTCGTGGTTACCACGCTTCACATTGACATTAGAAAATGGTTAGAGTTTCGCTTCTTCTTGGATGTTAAAATCGTAGGCGCCTCGGGGATCCGAGGGCAATACTCCAGTAGCCTGTTGGGAAATCCGCTCTCCAATGGATGAGAAACTAGACATTTCGGTATGACCATGCACGATACCATTTTTAAATGGAATTGATAAGTGTTAATGTAATAACGTTAACCGTAGAATTCCAGAAATGATAGGCCGAATTTAGACCGCTAAATTTTAGGAAGAGTCATTTACCAACGCCAACGGGGTTTTGGCCAATGGCCACCCCTCGCGCTCGCAAAGTTTTCTTCAGAAAGTGTTTACTTTTTACTATAACTTCGGATCTATTGTATTGACAGTTTGTCCAAGATTGTTGCTTTGATCACAAAAGGAAATATTTTATACCTATGCATGTATAGGTATGCAATTTTATACGATTTTATTAAAAACATCTATAAGACTTATAAACATCTATAAAATTAAAAACATTTATAACACTTTATTAAAAACATCTTTCCACAATCACCACACGCCAGGGTTTTGGAGATCGGAGGAATTTGAATGTATTTTAAAGACTGAAGTTTTTGAAGCTGTTCTTGTGTCAATGGATGTTGCCACATGTGAGTGTTCATTGCTGGGCAGTAGTAGAATGGTTTCGATGGATCCCAGGCTCTCGCTACGATTGTCTAAAAAACATATGGTGTAATATATATTATGATCGAAATAATTTTATGGAGCAAAAGTCATACAACGGTTTTCTCCTCAAGGGACACTGAACGAGACCGAAAGAATTATCTCTTACCAGACCTCAAAGAAGAATAGTTTAGAAAAACACTTTCGAGTGTTTGTGGCTCCCTCATAAAATACGTTCATAAAAAAATTGGGTGCATGATTTTTGAAAATTTGCATTTCGAAATTTGAAAACTTTTTGTATTTCATAGCCGTCAGTTCCTGCAGTTGAGTTAAGACGGATATGCAGTAAATAATTATAGTCTTCATGAATTAATGCTGGCTCTTCTTGAATCTTATAAATCCTTTAAAAACATCCTTGAAACGTAGAATTATACTTTTAAAAAGTCGTTGCCTCCTGAGTAATTTAGAATGTTGTTCTTTTGTTCTCTTTTAAATCTTATATGTACTAGATAAAACATGAGCAGCCGATCTGTATCTGATATACAAACCAGTCGAGCCGAAGGCGAGAGTTTGTATATCAGATACAGATCGGATGCGAATGCATGTTTTGTCTAGTACTTAAAAAATTACCCATCTTATGAGTTCATTGGCGAAGTAATTTTAAAAATAAACATTGTCTAAGCCGATCGAAAATCAAAGCTGAAGTTTATGTAAATCAGGACAAATCTTTATCCGATTTGCAAACATTGATTAAACATTCATTTCTTTTGTATTTTCCTCGTGAATTATTAATGAATTTTTAAAATATATATATAGTTTTTAAAAAAAATTAAACAAAGACTGTTAAATTCAACTGCTGCCCATTTCAATTCAAGTATTTCCAAGTAAGCCATTATTAAGTCAATAATTTTTTCTCCCCCTTTTTTCCAAGAACGACTAAACAAAAAAGCAGTGTTATAAGAGACTGACATGCATCATGGCTCGTTTAAGACCGTTCCATTTATTCCAATGGTCGTGATTACCGTTTCTATTTCTTGTTACAAAAACTAAGGTATAGGGTATAGATCTTTTTATGTACTATTTACAACATGAGCGGCCGTGTTGTATAGTATATACAAAAAAAATGGCTTAAAAAACGACTCATCTTATGAGTTCATTGGCGAAGTAATTTTAAAAATAAACGTTGTCTAAGCCGAGAAAATCAAAGTTAAAGTTTATGTAAATCAACATGAATCTGTATCACATATACAGATACGACACGCTTATGATTTTTCTTTGTGTTTTCTTCATGAATTATTAATGAGTTTTTAAAGTAATTTTATTTAATAAATGCTCATGCATGAGAATGATATGCTACGTCAATCACGAACATTTGTTAAATGTTACATCAACTTTGAAACAAACAGGTAAAACTTTATATATAGGTAGTACAAAACTAACACCAGGGAATTGGTACGAAAAATTGTGCCAAACTCTTTGCAAACTTCAGATAAAGAGATTAGGGTCTGTGATTTCAGTAGCCATGCATAAGCTAGGTAGAGTCGGGAACCAGAAACCCAGGGTTTTTTGCCTAATAGAGTTTCGATATAGTATTTTTATATATCTATAGATGACTATAACGCCATTTAAAAGCATTCAGGGGCCGGGGAACCGGGGAGTAGCCTGGTGGCATGCATGCGGGGGGGGGGGCAATGGGGGCATGTGCCCCCCCCTCCTCCACTTTCGAAATGCTTCCGCGGCCTCTGAAAGCATTGATATAATCTTTCTTGTTTCAGTGAGTTCGATATTTGCATGAAGCTTGACTATCGACCACAGTAATGAGATAAACATGAATTATTTTAAATAATTTCAGCACACTAGTTGATCGACAAATTGGTTTAATTAATTAAGATTACATGATTTTAGCCTGCGAACAGGCCCTGGGTTGCGGGCGGCGCGAAGAATAGAGGGCCTGCACGGAACTATAGGTTTTCTTGGTAGTGGCGTTCGTATAGAAACGCAGGCTTCTGATTGGCTTACACTCGTTGACAAAATTACTAAAAATAGCAAATGTCAACAACAGCATTTTGAAGAATTTGAACTTTGTTCATTTTAATATTATATATTATAGGACTATCGAACAAATAAAACTAGAAATGGAAACCAAAAGCAATAGCAAAGCATCACAGCAAAAAAGTCTATCATAAATGACTTGAATCTCTCGCTTAAATCCAATATACGAAACTATAACAGTATTCTGAACTTCGTCTTCGGATTGACATCAGACTATAGTATAGTACATTTTGAGGTCGTCGTGGCTTCACGGATTATTCTCATTAGTGAGCAAGTCAGCAAGCGAAGGTATACAAAAGATACCCAAATGTGTACGAATAATTATATTGTTGATCCTCGCTGGCATGTCATTTAGATATAAATATATATCGTACATTAAACGCTGTACTATTTACTGTATAAACTGCTGACAATTTCGTCGTCGATACGGCTTCCACCACTATGCTTCCACTATTGGCACACTCGTGATTTCGAAGAAATTAATAAATACATGCTCATTTATCATTTATTTAGACCACAGTTAGTAAAATTTTAAACTTATTCGGTATTCCAAATCCCAATCTATCTGACCGTATTTTAGTAATAGCTTCAAAATATTCAGAACATTGTTCTTTCAGTCGCACATAGTACAAGTATTACTGTACATTCAAAGCCAATGGTAGTTTATTCGGCTTTATATTTGTATGTGTATTGATATCTATTTAATATTTGAAGAATTCTATATTTTTCCGAGTAATATATTGTGAATGTGCGGCCCGCTAATGCTTTGTATTATTGTTCATGTTGCACAATGTACACGCCTTGCGTCAATTTGACAGTTGACAGTTTTTTTATCGCAGTCGACGCTGATTGGTTAACGTTTAGCAGATGCGAAAAGGGGATGATTGAATAAAACGCATGGTTCCGTGCAGGCTCACCTTTCTCCCAGTGAGCCTGTTCGCAGGCTAACATGATTTGGATTACATGTTCCTACACTTCAGTTTAGATTACATAAAGTGCCAACCCTTGATTGCATTTTGCAATGCGAAGTTCTTAACCATGCAATTCTGATAATTGAAAAATGTTGATTAAAATAAATACGATAATCATCAACTACTTAAAGTAAAATTAATATCGTGCTATTACCACTATATGATTATATAGTCCCCTAACATTGAAGATTTAATCTAGTTTCTTTACTATAATACTATAATTAGCCATTGTGAATATGTTAAAAATGTTCTTAAATGTGAATGACCCGATTTAATCATAAGCGTGTCGTATCTGTATATGTGATACAGATTCATGTTGATTTACATAAACCTTAACTTTGATTTTCTCGGCTTAGACAACGTTTATTTTTAAAATTACTCCGCCAATGAACTCATAAGATGAGTCGCGGCCGTGTTGTATCGGATATACAAATCATGTTTTCGCTCGCTACTCTGGTTTATATAAATGAAATCAAGTTGTATTCAACCCATGCAGTCGAATTGTAATCAAGACCCAATGTTTCGACACTCCAGTCTAGTGTCCGTTTATTAGGGGTGATCTAAAGTTGCAATGGGTCTTCTTAAATACCCAATGGCCGATGACGTCATCTGCCAATAAGATGCGTGTATTCCTCTGGAAAATAAGCACCGTCATCGCTATTCAAAGCATGATTAACTCATATTTATATTGGCAGCTTCTAGGCATCGTCTTTGACCTGCATAGCGATTGTTTGTGGTAATTACTTTAGAATTGTGCAATCTTGTGTTTGTCACACACATGTTCTGCTAAAGCTGATTTCCCCTTGTTTAAAGTTGAAACAGCCTTTTGATGTTCTTTTAGCCGTGTACCAAACTGGCGTTTAGACTGACCCAAATCATACTCTTTCGCGCAGTCACTGCATGGTATATACAACATGAGTTTTCTGATTTGAGTTTAGCAGGATCTTTCGGCCTGGCGAAAATATGGCCTATATACCATATATGCGGTGACTGCGAGAAAGAGTATTTGGGTCAGTCTAAACGCCAGTTTGGTACACAGCTAAAACTAAGAACATCAAAAGGCTTCAACTTACAAGGGGAAATCAGCTTTAGCAGAACATGTGTGTGACACTGACCAAACATGATTGATATACCTGGTTGCCTTGAACTTTAAAGGTAAAGGTTATGTCCAGTGGTCCTGTCACGTTTACGCACGGTATCACATATTTTTGAATCAAGAAAACCATCGATCACGTTTCACCGAGAGGGGTTCGTCACGGCAGAAATCTCGTACACTCAATCCAGAAATCAAATTAGAAATCAGGAACTAGCTAGAAATCGCTTGAAATCAGACTATTTCGAAATCTTAATGAAAATGGCTTAAAAAGTTGGTATTGGAGAAACAAGCTTGTCTCATTTTCCTGTATTTCCATATTTCATAATTACGACAATATTTTGTCTTTAAATTACTCCAAAGTTTCGTATTTTTCAGGCAACGAAATGTACCAAAACTGCAGTAACTGATACCTTCAGGAAATCTTGAAACCATGCAGTGTTGAAATCAGCAGTAATCACCATTGTCATGCATGTCATCGCATCACGTACGAGAAAATTGTTTCGCTTTCCTGATTGACTTATAGATGCATTGCGAAGCGAGTTTAATTTTCGCATAAGTAAATCCATTCGTAAAATAAAGAGTAATAATAAAACATTATGTTCATCGCTATTTAATAAAGTAGTATATCCTGTATAGATTTAGCCCACTGTTTGTATTGTACGTGCATGTCAACGATTGAGGGCCATAATAATCCCATTCATATATAATTGAACTAAATTCAGGTTCAAAATTAGCGAGGCCCTGTTAGGGTTTTAGAATTACGGATTATTTGGCATTTTTGGGCAGGATTACGGATTATTTGGTATTTTTGGGCAGGATTATGGATTATTTGGCATTTTTGGGCAGGATTACGGATTATTGCTGGTTTAAAAAAAAAGATTATGGATTATTTGGATAGGATTTTAGGATCATTAATGATATGCAAAGATCATCCATTTTTGTTATTGAAAATAAAAATAAGAGGTACAATTTGCAGTTTGTAAGAGGTCATAAGATGCCATTCAATATCAATATCTTCTTATATCTTTAATTATTGACCATTTCGCACATTTGAGATGGTTCACACGCGATCTTCGCGCAAACATGTACACACGTAAAATTCTCACAACTTGTTAACAAGATGTGTTCGCAAAAGGCTTGTAGCAAGCTTGTCTACAAGTTGTAACAATGCTGATATTTTATCAAGTTGCTACAAGGTTGTCACTCACAACTTGTTGACAAATTGTTGATATCAAGTTGTTGGAACAACTTGTAACAAGTCTGTTGAGCTCAACAACCTTGTAGCAAGTTGTCAACAAGCTGGGACAGGGCCGTAGCTAGCATGTATAGTTGGGAGGGGAGGGGGGAGGGGGTGTCGGGCAAAAATTTCCGAATGACGAAAAAAATTTCCGAATCTTTCATGACATACGAAGGCAGTTCCGTAGGAAGCTGCTTTTAATCGGGGGAGGCTGAAAACGAGGGCCAAAGGCCCGAGGAAATTTTTTAACTTAGAGTCTCTAAAATGGCCATTTCCTGATTTTCCGAATATGTTAATTCTAAAAAAGTTGGGGAGTTAACCATCCCCCACCCCAATACCCCCCTCGCTATGGTCCTGAGCTGGGAACAAGCAGTGCGAACACATCCTGTTGACAAGTTGTTGGAACAGCTTTGAGTTACAACTTGTGCGTTTTTTAATACGTGTGTATGTGACATGCATGAATCACACACATGAATCACTCGAGTGTCACTTGATCTCGTGTGGAATAATTTGACTGTTCACATTTCTTTAAATTATTAAAGGAATATTTTTGTTTATAGAAACGGGATACAGATTATTTTTAAATTTTTGCTAGGATTATGAATTATTCAGACCCCCCCCCCCTAACAGGGCCTCATAAGTAAAGTTCTTATACCCATGCATGTATCAGGCCATATTGGTATAGGGCTATAGGCTATGGATTTTTTCCAGTTTTTTCCAATCCTGTAAGAATTCCTATAGGAATTTTTATTTCCTATAAGAATTTTTTTCACCATTTTGAAATCTTATATGAATTCCTACAGGAATTTTCTAATCTTATAGGAATTCCTATGGCCATTTTCCAATCCTATAGGAATTCGTATAGGAATTTTCATTTCCTATAGGAATTCCTATGGCCATTTTCCAATCCTATAGGAATTCCTATAGGAATATTTTTTCCTATAGGAATTTTTTTACCATTTTCAATTCCTATAGGAATTCTTATAGGGATTTTCAATGCCTATAGGGATTCCTATAGGAAATTTAAATTCCTATAGGAATTCCTATAGGAATTTTCAATGCCTATAGGAATTCCTATAGGAAATTCTCGTAAGGGAATTAAAATTGTGTGCACGTGACAGAACTATTTGACGATGCCAGTAAGATACGAAAGCCTTTCGAAGGATGCCATAACGAAGCTTCACAACTTCAGTACTACAAAAACAATTTAGGCTTGGTGGCCGGTAAGATACTAATTTAAATTTCATCATTATATCATACTGAATCAATACTGCAGGATGCACCTAATTAGCTGGATATTAAGATGAGGGCTGATCTTTATAATTATGCACAAGATTGCACTGTAAAAATTAAATGTTAAAATAACCAATATCTCTTTTGGCTACCAATTCCAATTGGTTATTTTAACATTGTTTTTTTTGTCAAAATATTTGGTTGCTTTAACTCTTGTTATTTTGGTTAATACAACCAATTTCCTATGATTAAGATTATTTTCAATCAATTACTAATTGGTTGGCAAATAAATATTTAACTTAACCAATTTATTTTTGGGCGGTTAAAAGAATTGACAACAACGGTGAAAACAAAGATGGGAAACAATGAGCGCGTGGTGTTTTGTACGGTTCTGAAAAATCGTGAAAACGACATTTAAATCGATCTAAAACAAAGGAATAAGTAAAATTATCAAAGCAATGTGAAATAAGGTTTTCATAATTTCATTTGATATCTGTCAAATCTATAGAATATAAAACATGGGCGGAAAGATAAAGGGTATGTAATCATATTTTTTTTCTTGTATTGCAGCCGCGAAAAAATACAAGTTCTTGCCTGCCAAAGTTATGATTTATTTTTTTATATTTATTAATATATATTTGAAGATAAATGTGAATCTGACAAGAGTATACATTATCTAATTATTTAATGCACTTTAATAATATATATACAGTACATGTAAACTTTCTATAAATCATATAACATTTATAGATAGTTACAGTTATTGTTTCCACCTGATAAACAACCTTGTTTGTACATGGTTTTGCTTATGGGTGAATTTGTAGTATACACAAAAGATTATAAATTCTTAATTGCTACTGCCTGCAATGAAAACAAGGAAATGGCTTGTCTATAAGACTGGAAATACATGTGAAAGTACAAAATCCTTCTCAGAAAAGACTGTATTTCACAAATTGAAATCAAAATTATGATCTAGTTATTTCAGCTATTATGAATTGGTGCACCCGCTGATGAGTTCCCCTTATCAATCCATTTGATGCCGAAATCAGGGTCTTAGCCAACTTAGCCGACCAACAGTTCAGCTGTCAGTTTAAAATATTTAATTTGGCAAGCTTAGATGATGGCTTTTGGACATTCTTTTACTTTGTTGGCATAGCTGTATTTTGGTAGTTTACTAAGTGAACTTGGGCCATTGACATCAGTAAAAAAAAATTTTCACAAGAATTTTACCAATTATTTTGACTATGATTCTTATACACTAATTTTCACTTTTATTGCTCAAATATTTAAGATGAAATGGATTGATTACCAAATTTATATGTACATTTGCAACTAATTTAATCACCAAACATGCAAAATACCATCAGTTTAACACAATTAATTGATGCCAATGTGAACTGTTGTGCTGTATGGTAACACAACAAACCTTTCTGCCTTCAGCACTTATGGAATGTACTAAGTGCATTGGAACATGGGTGAAAAATCCAGCTTCAGTAGTAAGATGTGCTGGTTCTTGACTTTCTGTCTACTTCAAATGAGTGGAGATGGTAATTGAAATGGATAGGAACTTGCTTTTTGATTTTGAAATAACACTTGTGATTTGGAAGGTATATCATTTTGGTTATCAAACCAAACTCAGGCATTTCCACATTTGCCAAGTATCCAGTAACAACAATAGTGCCAATCTTGTAGCTACTTCCATTGATGGTGACTGTTGAGGGTCTGCATAATATAATGGATTAGAAGTCATAAACAATTTATACTAAGTTTTTACCAAACAACCTATACTATGTTGTACTTTAAATACAACTCTACTGTTGACTGTTGACATGGTATTTCCATGATTCCTATAGATTCTCTGCAGACATGTTGTATAATAGGCTGTTTTCTCAACCTGCCTCAACTTAAGTCTGTAAATTTTTTTATGAATATTCATAATCTACAGTAAATTTATGCCTTGCATGCTGTATACCACTGTTTACAATCTTAGAGCTCTGCATGTATCTAAACACCCACAATATATTGTAGTGGGTATTTAGATACATGCAGAGCTCTAATAAGATTGTGCAAGGCATGAGTTTATTTAGAACAAACTTAATTGGTTTCATTGGACTAGGGGGGAAACGAACAATGATCATAATTGTCTACAATTATTACACTCACTCGAAAAGAGTTTCCATATTTGCTACGCTGACCTCTTTGGCCAACAGTTGTTCAAAATACTCTGTTTCCCGAGCAACTACTATTTTTCCACTACCTGCAGTAAAAATGTAATCAAAGTTTTTGAATTGTCAAAATTAATTATTAAGTTGATAACTTGACAGCTAGCAAGCGTTTATTAAATTGCTGTATGGATATACAGGAACAAAGAAAGCTGCCTTGTAGGACAAATTGATCGAAAGACAGGTTAATTATTAATTTGTGTATTATGTAGTCACCTACCTACCGCAGTTGGTTTCTCGATGAATGATGTTAATGTGTCATCCTTTTCTTTGACATTCATTAAATAACGTTGTTGCCCCTGATGTTGAGTTGCTATTAATGTATAGGCAACATTCTTGTAGTTTCCTATGTAGGAAGCCAGTCGCTTGAAGTACCTGTGTTTTGCTTCAAAACACATGCACCATGTGCGCCTCATGGGTCCAAACCTAGTATGAAAAAAACAACAATAAAAAACCAAGACAGATTAAAAAAAAAAGATTTTAGAACCAGCATCAATAACAATGCAGTTAATCAGGGTAATGATTAAAGCATTTTTGAATAAATTGTTCATTGTTTTGTTTTCTATTTAAGGATAGTAAAGTGTTTACTGTACCAAAGCATGTGAGAAGGATAATGAACCATGTAGTGCATGCATCTTAGGAATAATGGATCTGCCAGGATAGAGGTTGACAAATGTGGAGTGATGTTCTTCGATAAGCCCTTCTAAAACGCCAATGGAGTAAACAGTGGTTTTGTGGGCAAAGATAATGTCGATGATGTCTAACAACACACAGAAAAGATGCCAATACTTGTCATCTTCTGGAATAAGCGTACCAACTAGAAATTACTATCATCAGGAAAGTGCTGCCTCACCCTGCCTTCCATCACGTAAGCATGTAAAGCACCCCTAAGACACCTGTTCAGGAGGTAGGAAAAGTGCAAATTGAATGCGAAAACACCTTGCACAAAGTCGAAGGGCTTTGCGAAAGTCTACAGGTCATGCTATGTAAGTTTTTAATGATTTGCATTATTCAAATAGATGCAGGTTTATTAGCATATCATGACCATGACTAGCTTGCCACTGTATACTGTACAATTATGGCGGGTGATGTGTGTCAAAATTAAGTGAAACATTTTGACAATGATCTTGCAACATTTGGCATGCATGTCAAACAATTTGGCAATGATTTGGCATCATTTGGCTACTGGTTCTGACTATTTTGTGGCAACTGCAAAACATTTGGTGACAATATCAAAATATTCAACAACAAAAATTCGTTTGACAACAATTTATTACTGCACTGAATTAAAATGTTATCATTTGACAATGACCTCGCGTTTGGCAACAATCGTTTCATTTGGCAACAACAATCCCAAAATGCATTGCGAGTTTGCAAATTTAAAAACAAGATAGCGGATCAACATCAACCCGACGAAGTACGAGAATCAATTTTAACACGCTTGGAAATGCTTTTAAACGATGTTAGGGCAGCTATTTCACCAGATCCTGAACCCCATATAATAGATCATATTCGCGATTGCTCTGAAACTCTTTAATAATATCGATGTCTTGCTGTTCTCTCTGCACAAGACCCCGCAATACATACAGCGGATATCTAAATTAAGCAAGACTCTTGGTTGATATTATGGAGCGCTCTATTTTCAATGGCGAAAATAGCGGAAGAAGAACAACAAGAATGCGAACTGCAGGGAGACCTAAATTTGATATTTTCAGAGGCCAATTGGTGTACCTTATAAATGGGTCAGGATCTGGTGAAATAGCTGCCGTAACATCATTTAAAAACATTTCCAAGCGTGTTAAAATTGAATCTCATACTTCGTCGTGTTGATGTTGATCCACCATCTTCTCTCTAAATTTGCAAACCCGCAATGCATTTTGGGATTGTTGTTGCCAAATGAAACTATTATTGCCGAACATGAGGTCATTGTCAAATGATAACATTATAGTTCAGTGTAGTAATAAGTTGTTGTCAAACGAATTTTAGTTGTTGAATATTTTGATATTGTCACCAAATGTTTTGCAGTTGCCATAAAATAGTCAGAACCAATAGCCAAATGATGTCAAATCATTGCCAAATTGTTTGATATGCATGCCAAATATTACAAGATCATTGTCAAAATGTTTCACTTAATTTTGACACACATCACCCGCCATATACAATATCATATATAATAAACAATAATAAATTATACTTGAATGAATCACTGGATATTTAGAATTTAATAACAATTTCATACATAGAAATACTACCAGTATTAAAGTCACCCACCACAGAACAACGGAACAATCTGCCGATGGGGAGATAAAATCTAATTTGTTAACATTTTTGTTTAATATATGTCAGCTTCATATGACACCATGCATTCATTGTATAATTGATTAAGATTGCACTCAGTCAGAACTGCAAAACTATATAATAAAAAAGAAATTGTGAGCATTATAGAAATAAAGTCAGATATTCGTATACAATTGTGTGTTCCAATTCGGACATCATACTGCTCAATTGACCTTATGCATATTAATGATGTCACAAGGCTTGATGCCCGAAATCATCGTCCGACAAAATTAAACAATTCAAAATGGCCACTATCGAAATTTTCCTGAACCATGATGACCACTAAGACCAGCATTCCACGAAGGCATCAAGCCTTGAGCCGTCATTATGCATAAGGTCTATTGATATACAGTAAAGCCTCACATAAAAGAACCAGTAGGTTAAGAACCACTAGCCTGAAATTTGAGCAATTAAGCACCTAAAATACAAGTTTTAAATTTTTTTTAAAGTTTAGATATATGGAACAAGAACCATATTAGTGTCATAGCAATAATTTTATGCAACAACAGTCCCTATTTAGTGTGTAGAATATAAAAAAGTATAGTGACACTTATATAAAAAATACAGAGAAAATATAATTTACGAAATAACTCCTTCATATAGGAATTTCTATTTCTTATAGGAATTTTTTCACCATTTTCAGATCCTATAGGAATTCTTACAGGAATTTTAATTTCTTATACAATTACACTATTCCTATATCGCATTTTATTCATAGACATTTATTAATAAGAGAATTTAATACTTGAACTATTTATTTTCTAAGATTAAATGAATAATTACCGCAATGTGCGCGAGTGACAGACTGGTGTCTAGTTTTCTTGCCACGCGCGCAAAGCATCAAGGGATATATCATCACACCTCTGATATTTTTTCAAGTTCGTGTTTGTGAATGTTTATGTTCAAAATATAACTATTTTTGATGGGATTCAACTGGATTTTCACTAGTAATACATCAGGGATGTTTGTATAATGTTCAGGTGAGAACAAGTTTATATTTTATTTATAATAAAGCAAATTATAAAGGAAATACCTCCAATCTTCATTTGTGAAATTCGAGCATGTGGTTCGGTAAAATTTGAATTTGCCGCGACAATATAAATGGAATTAGAACGCTGATATAAATATATTTATAGCATTTATACTTCAACAAACATATTTGGCTAGATTATAGAATACCCGTCCACTTTTGTGACTATTTTATTTTCGTGATACAATGATACGAAGTGAAAGTCATGACGTAATCATTTTAGTAGCGTGTTATTATAAAAAGACTATATAAACTCCTGTTATTTAGTGAAACTGGGCAAGCTATTTTTTAGTGATACGATGATACGAAGTGAAATTAACGCAAAATATCACTACCATAGTGTATTCCTCGTTCTTCAAAGAACACGCAACAGATCACTACTGTAGTATATTCCTCCTCAATAAAAACACACATAATATCACTATTACACTGTATTTCTCGTTCTCAAAAAAACACGCAAAATATCACTATTATAGTGTATTGTTCGTTCTCAATAAAAACACGCAAAATATCACTACCATCGTGCATTCCTTGTTCACGTAGCGTGTTTTAAAATTGCTTTTTCTCTTTTCACTAACATTTCAGCAATGTAACAACCTCTCCTATTACCAAACTTCCTTACTTAATTACCTCATTTATCACCTACCTGTCAAGATCATATCACAATAAACCGATCGAATGTCATACAGTGTCACTTCATCGCTACTGTTAAAGTGCCACTAACCCCCTAAATTTTCTTTTCATAAAATCAATAACCGCTATTTACGGAGTACAAAAATGAAAAAAAAATTTAATCGGTTGAATTCTCGCTATTCTATGGCTTCTCAAAGTTTGAAAAATTGCCCTAAAATCGACGCCATTTTGTCCCAGGAGCGAGCGCTGATGATCTGGGCTTGTGACGTCAATTGGTGAACCGGCTGTTGTGTCAACACAAGTGTTTACAGTGCTAGGCGAGTTTGTTAGGCATGCGAACGGCGAGAAAATGCCGAAAAGATGCGTTGTTGCCGGTTCTAACAACATAGGAGATAAGGAAAAAGAAATATCGTTGCATGCAATTTCTTATTCGGGGGACGAACGGCCCGAAGCGAAAAAAAACGAAAGAAATGGACTGACTTCGTACTAACCCTCAAACGTGCAAAATGGACGCCGACGTCGTAAAATGGACGCCGACGTCGTATTCAGTCATATGCTCTGAGCATTTCAAGCCCGAGGATTTTTTGCGACGGTTTTCCCATGTCGAAGGTGAAAGCTTCGTTGGCAACAGATCGCTCAAAAGGACCGAGATCGGAATTTGTGTATTCCCAACAATCATGCCATCAGCTGACGCACAGAAAGTTTCAGACAGATACAAGCGAATGGTATGCTAATTTTGTATTTTATACATAATTGTGCGTAACTTGAATTTGTTTGACTAAACTGATTTAATTAATAAACATATCATTATATAACAT